AAAAAAAAAATACCACAATTGAGTAAAAATGCAAATGATCTTTAAATGCTGTATTAGAAAAACATTTCACAGGCAAAGGAAACAGACTCTGTGGAGATCCAGGCTAGTCCTGGATACTACACATCCACTCAGAGAGCCTGAAAGACACTCTCCTGAGGCACAATTTATTTTGTGGGAATGCAGATATCTGAACTAAGTCAGAAGAATCATGCTCTAACAGTGCATGTCCCTCTCTGTTGACTATATAGGGCATCTGGTCAGGCATCTCAAAAGGAAGAAGTCTGTATTAGAATCATCAAAAGTTGCAGTAAGTAAATTCCACCCTGTATATTTATGAAAAGGGAGGAATTTACAAAGAATCACAGAAATAGTGTGGTAAAGGCCTTCAGAAGATCTCAAGTCCAACTTTCTGCCCAAAGCCAGACTATCACCAACACACGATCAGTCAGCAGAGACTCTGCCCAACTAGGGGCAGAAGAATTCCAAGGATGTAGATTCTATATACTGAGTAACAGATATATTCATTTTTCATTTCAGATCTGATATATGGGAGAATTGCTGTCTCAGACCTGAAAGAAATATATCACCTGCTTTTTGTTTTACAAGTGTAAAGAAATATTACTTTGGTCCTAATAAGATGAAGCAGAATGAAAATGAAAGAAGAGGTTTTACAAGCAGCTATCCTTCCCAAAATCCCAGAGCCATTACCTCTGTAGCTTTGGATTTTGTCTCTTCCAGGGTTTGCACCAAGTCCACATTATCCAACATGTTTCCTGTGGAAGTTGCCAGTTCCCGAAGGAGAGAGTCTTCAAGGTCTTTCAGCAAGTTTCTGTTCTCGCTTGTCTCCTGTATGAGAGATTCTCTCTGCTCTTCCAATTCTCTTCTCTCAAAACCCATGATGACACTGAGCAACTGATCCTCTAGGCCTTTTAGTGTAACTAAAGATAGAATATGTAGACAGCACAGAGTTTTTAAAAACAAGCACAGCTTTTGGGCAACACTTGATCATCTTACAAAACTACAGCTGTGCAACAGAGTGACTTGGTTAATAACTACATTTTGGTTCTACCAATGCCTTCTAATGTGAGCAGTGCAAGAAGAGATACTTGGCTCTACTTCAGTTAAAAAGAGGGAAGTGAGAATTTTGTATTAAATCAAATTCTAATTAAAAAGGAGAGTAGGAACTTTTTACAGTTTCATTATTGTTTCAGATAAACACCAAGGCCCTAAGCTCACACTACAGCACAATTGCTAGTTTGTTACTAAAAGCCCGTTTTTGCTTACCTGTATAATTGATGACCATAGCTTTGCCAAACACAGAGGGAGAATACTTCGGGTTAGCTAATTTGGTGTTCAAGTACAATCTAAAATTACTATCATAGTCAACTTCTTTATCACCCAGGACGATGAATGTTCGGCCCTGTGCAACTTTGATATTCTTCTCTAAGACATTGTCTATCACTGGATCGATGTACTCATCGACATCATGGAACAAGAAAGGGCTCCCGTACTTTATAGACAATTCTAGTTGTTTAAGGAAATCTGGGTCATTAAAGGAAGCCATCTGCAAGAGAATAACGCAAAGATATGAAAAAAAGAATTGATATGCAACTTCTCGAAAGATATAAATTTTTAATAGTTGCCAGCACTAAGTTGGTGCTTGTTGATGCAGATCTGCCTTTCCCCTTACAGATGATATAAACTGCCCTCGT